TACTCGTTATGCGAGGTGCACTTTAAGCGAGGTTCCACTGTATTTCATTTTTATAAATGGCTCAATGTAAAAACAATTTCATCTTGGTCCGCAGGATTCAAAATTTTGAGTTTATTAGTCCGTGAGGTCAAAAAGGCAGAAGACCGCTGGTTTAGAATATAAAAAAAATAATATCTGTTTTCCATATAAGAACAATTACAAATTTTCAGACATTTTCTTAAACAGGTAAGTCTGTAGTATTTCCGCCCATATAAATTAACAATAATATTAGATCAACTTATTACCAATATGTTAATAAATTAACAAAAAAAAATACATAATTTCTTAACAAAATTCATTAAAAGATATAATAATTAACAATAACTATGTGAAAGTCGAAATATATAAAGTGGAGTAAATTTGTAACTGAATTTAATTTTAATTTTCGTATTATATATTATATATTAACATGTTTTATATTGCCATAAAACACAGATTTTACACTAAACAATAGAATATCGATGTAGAAGTAAGTAATAACGCTCATTTTTAAATTCATTTGTTTTACGTCTATAGTAATAGAATATTGATATTTAATTACAATAAATTCCAATGTGTTTTAATTGTTAAGCATGTATTTAGTGTAAGGTAATTGGAATAACTAAAGATTTTTATAATCTGTGGATTATTACACAACATTGGATATTAATGTGTATGCAAAGCAGCTATGATTTATTTGGGTTAATCACTTAATCATTTTTAGCATTAGTATGCACTGCCTTCAATCCATGTATATTTATTTGTTTATCTAAAAAATTTGACAAATACACTTTTCATTACTTATTTTATATATAAAAATAAAGTGTAATAACATTTTTTTAAACTTAAAGTAACATCATCTAACATTAAATGTGTTTAATCTGGAGCGTTTTAAGAAAAGAATTTCCAAAACGTATGTAACCGCCGTCACGTTCGAAATTTCTATTCGTCCTTGTTATATTTTTTTCCACTCAAAATGCTTTCGACGCATATGTTCAGAATAAATTTCAGTCGGCGTAATTCCGCAGTCGAATTTAATTATTAGATGGAAATGCGTTTGCGAAATCGAAGCTGACTTCGTTTTTTCTTTCTTTCTTTTGATTGTTTATTATACAACAATTGCTTCGGTAAAAGTATACGCTAATTAGCGATTTTTTAGAGCCACGGCCTTGCGATGCAAGAATTTAGTACACACATATGCGTAACGTTAAGGTTAAATCGACCAATGGGAGGACTATGTAGATTAGACTTGCTTAAAAGTGGGCTAATACTAATACAATAACATATGACAGGGTTCGGCAAATATTTTTATTTTCTTCTTATTCTTCTAATATTTGTTTCAGATCAATTGCGATGCCCACGGACTTGGATTAAAAAGAAATCAGGGTCAAAAACTGCCGATGACGAGAAAGAAATACCGAACATTTAAATGCGATGTAAGTATTGTCAATCTTTCGTCACCTAAATTTCAAGAAAACTAGTTTCCAATAGGTATTTATTATGTTATTTACATACTCTATCTTGAGAACTCAATCTATAAGATACGTTAATCATTATTTAATAATTCATAGTTATTACACTAATTCTCATGTGGGGCTGTTGTAGTAGTTTAACTGAGTGATATAATTTTAGATACGGTTATCTATATTATACTATAATCTATATACTTACAACGAAAAACGCTGTGATGCTAAGTACATTTATAGAATTCAATTCGAATATCAACGTGCATTTTTTTATTTAAGTGTATTATAATTAATACTCCATAATTGTGTGAAAGTACATTTCAGAGAAAATTTATATATTTAAAAATAATCAAGTTTGCATTTGATTATTTGATTTCCTTAAGTTAGGTTAGGTTTTGTGTATAACATGGCATAATTTGGTTTTGTTTTTCCTGATATGCCACATGTTATACATTATTAGATTAAAACAAGTTGTCTTCTAAAACATATCATATATTTAAATCACAAGGAAAAATAAAAGTGGCATTAACTATGATACTTTATTTTTTATGTTGGGTCTTTTGTGCTTATCACTGTCTTGATTAACATCTTGATTAAAATATAAAGTTATACAATTATAAAACAAAACATCTGATAAATGCCCTTAAAGATTTGCTAGTAATCAAAATGTTCCAAATTCTTCAACTGTGAACAGAATAATCTTGTTGGGACACCCTTTACATACAAAGGGATATTGACTTTTTATTTGACTTTTTATACTTTTATAGTGTTTATATATAGATATAATTTGTAGTTTATAAATCAGTTAAATGAATTTATTACTATAATAATGAGTAGGTTCACTAAAGAATTTAGCCACTTTTTCATTTTCAGATGTTTTTTTCTGGTGGAAATGGTTAGAAAATATTTACGCAATGTTTGGGCCTTGTCCTCATTACTTATTGCCAACTTCCATAAGTTCAATTCGTAAGAATTCGTATTTAATCGACTATAAATGAAGATGTAACCTCAAGTTGTAAATTAATTCTTGGAAATATATGTCCAACTTTCAAAATAAGTGGCTCATCTATATTTTTATCATTGATGGATTTATCAAAGAATATTATCTTCATTACAGAATAGTATAGCTTTGTCATATAATAAATATTTATATTGGTGAAATCAAATAATTATTGTATTATATATATGAATTTTCATATGCGAATAATTTTACAAAACAGTAGGAGAATTAAATAAAATCTTAGCTTAATATAGGTCGGGTTAGGTTTACTTTGTGCGGTATGAAAGATTCAAAATTGCTTTAATTTAATTTGTATGTAGGTATGTATTATTATTTAATTAATCATATTAATAATAAGTCACATTATACAATTCAATGATTAATCATAATTTACTGAAACTTACAAAATTCTGAACTTGTTTGCTTTTTTATCTGAGAGGATAAAATCTTCGCATATTCTTCAGATTGTACGAAAGGTGAAACTGCCAGGTCGAAGCCGAACATCAGTTAAGTTGTATTGAAATTACGGGGCTTCTCATTTTTCTTGCTTTTTTTTACAACATTCGTTCAAAAGTATTATTATACGTCGACTGCGTGTAATTACACGACCTTCCGTCACTTTTGGAATCCAGTTACTCGTCGCAGTGTTAATCCTGTTTCTTGTATCATTTTATTTTTGGTAACATTTAATTTTCGTACACTGTGCTTTACATTTACGATTCGTGTTATTATTCGTCTACAATGATGTACGATCTCGTACAAAGTAGTTCTTAGAATGTTTAACATATTTCTGTGCGACGGTAAGAAAAAAACATCCGGCAAGAAATTGCAACAGGCGAATATGATAATGTGCACATTCAAATGGGCGGAATTTTGAAAACGGATTGAATAGTCGTGCAGTGGCGTACCATTCTTTGAATACCGATAGTTACAGTTTAATTCAATTATAAACATTCCTATAGATTTATTGGAATAATTAATATATATATTAATATTTATAGATGCTAATTATTACCTATAGTTTATAGGTTTTCTGTTGCATGTTTTATGGAGATCCTTTGAATCAATATTGTATGTTAAATATTTTCGTTAGAATATACATAAAAATTGGATTTTCCATCGCATCACATCCTGTAACGCGAAATTATTAATCACTTGGAAATAATATTAGTTCATTATCACTCAAAAAATAAATTAGTAGTCACAAAACAAAATGAAACTGAAGTAAATGATGATTTGTGTAAATGTTTGCATATTTGAACAAACTATTATTTGTATGTCTCATCCAAGTAATTATCGGTAGAAAAAAGAAACTTGAAAATTAGTTTAGAGATTTAGACAATTTCAACAGTTAAATGGCTTTTAAAGTTCAGTTTATAGCCAACTTTTAATTAGTTTTGTTTTGTCTTAATTGATTTTTATAAAATCCTGATCTGAGATCTATCAAATTCTGGATTGTATCAAAATATGCACTTATGTTAGGTTAGATCTATTCTCCGAGAATTATAGTATGTTATATAGTTTATTTGACATGGTCTAAACTTACAAAAGAATTTTGACTATTAATTTGTTATTGCATAAATTATGTATGCATACTTAATATTAAATTAGAAATTGTTATTGTAATAGAATTATCAAGTTAAACTTAAATAAATATCATGTTAGTGAATAAGTTATGAACTAATTTAGATTAAATTGAAAATATAAAATTAATAAACAAATTACAAATTCAGATGTATCCTAGTTAAGTACGCTAATAGTGTTTTAAAATTATATAGTTAGTACTAGTATTTCTGACAGTATGACTATCGAATATGTTATGTTAATATTATTTAAACACAATAAAGCACTTTTTATACAATAATATTACATAAATTTAGTTTTTTAATAATTTAGTTAATAAAATATGTTCACTTACTATTGTGTTATTTAAAAGGTTACAATAAAATATTTACCTTAAATCTATATTTTAAGGTTTCATATAAAAATAATAATAGTTACATTTTTTATTACGAGACGTGCGATGAAATATATATTTTTTTTTTAATCATACGTGTTCATGAATTAATTCAACAAATTGGATATTTAACAATTTACTTAATTTGCGGTTTCTATTAAAAAATATAATTGAGAAAATTTAATAACATGAGTCAGTTAGTAGCTGTTAATTATTTCCATCATTAATTTTGCTACCTATTAATTTCGTGTGTGAATAGTTTTCGAGAATTGAATATGGAAAGCATAAGTCAAGTTATTTATTCTATGATGTATTTCGGATGGTTTCGCGAAAGACGACTGCGCCTATGGCCGAGAGTCAGATTATCTGGGCCCGACCACATATACATTCTTCTTTAACTCGCGATGGTTCCAAGAAAAAATAACACTATCGATTATAAATAACAATAAAAAGACATCAAATAGTAGTGGCGCATCCCATATGAAATTAAATTGAAGTGTAATAAATAAATTTATTCGTTTTTTTTTTGTATATTTTAAATTGTAAGTAAGAGAACCGAAGGTGGGGGCAACGATGTTTGTTAAAGTCTACTTTCTCTTCGGTTCTGGTGAGGTTTTGGTCGCGCAATCCGCTTAGTTTGAATGTAAGACTGTGCGTTGTCCGGTTATGTGTGCTAATTGATTATTAACTTGTGGGAAATTGTCGGAAAGAAAAACGTACACCCCGAGTGTGCATCAACATTCAGTGGTGCTGTGCTCACGTCTCTCGGTCAGAAGTTTATAGTCGCGCCCTCGTCCACGTTTGCCCTAGGATGCACTTCGTAAATTCGATATCGAATTAGGTTTTTTCTTTCCTACCTGAGTAAACACAACAGCTGATATGAGACGTCCGGGTCGACACAGCTTACTGGCGGTGTTTCTATGTGTCATCGTCCTCGTTGTTGTACGAACGGGTGAGAGATCTGCAATATATGAACTATCTTTATTTCAATTAAGAATAACCATAACCATTAAAAAACTATAACAATAGATTGTCTCACATAAGCTAAATGCAAATTCTCAATTAAGAACTACGTTAAAATCCATTAGTTCAATTAGCGAAAAGCGTATATAAGAGCGTACAAAACACGTTAATTAGAAAGCTATCCGCACTCTGAAATATTTTTGTAACTAGTCATGCAGTCATAATATATTAAATTAGATTCACTTTAGTGATACATTATATATATTTTAGTTTATTAATGTGATCTTGTAACCTGATTTTGTGGTTGGTATCTTAATCAGCTCATTGCTTTTCTTATTCACAATGTAAACCTTCACACTGATTCGGCTGTGTCCGTGGTTTGTGGGAAAATTTTGAATATGCACGTCTTCGCAATGGAAATAATTGAATAAATTTCAGCATTCCACGGATAGTTGGAAGTTTGTGGACTAAATTAATATGCACACAGTAACACCGCATGATTTACGGCTCTAGCATATCCGATCTCGGTATTTTTTGTTTTCGGCAACAAAACGATAACAAATTTGATCACTCAATTAATTAAATTTTCCAAACTATATTGTATCAAGTTAGGAGAAACGACCTCAGAGAGAATTGTTATTTTCGAATAAGCTACAAGTCAATGTCTTCTAGAAGTCAGTTTTTGTTTAATATGTTTAAAATGTAAATCAATTGTGTCAGAAAAAATATACTGTGTCTACGTATTGTTAAATCATGCTAAAGGCGTAGTTTTAATATAATGAATGGGCACATTAATTAAATCATTTAATTAAAACATTTAAATTCGAAGACTTAATGTTTTTTATGTAAAAAGACTATGGTGGATAGCCCTTGGGCTGTAAAGGTTCATTATTATTTATTTTTTAAATTTAAAATTAAATCAAAACCATAAACATTTATCTATGAAATAAACATATAAAATCTATAAATGTAAATGGAAAATAATAAATTAGTTTTTAATAGGATGTTTAGAATGTTAATTATTTTGAAATAATTTCAACTGATGATGTCAATCTTATGTAATTTAAGCAGATTAATTATTGGTTAATAGAATATTAAAATAAAAGACCTTATCATATACAAATGCAAACAATATTTTTATATACAATAAATGCATTACTTTTAATTTTAAGTTTGATTAAATACACAAAATACATTGATCTAAATTATATTATATTGCAACAAGAATAAAACTTTATAGAAAAGTTTTGAACTGACGAAATGATAGAAATATTCAGAATTTAAAGCAATAAGAGCAATACATACCACCAAAAATTAATTCATATATTTTGATTGTAATATTCTAGTTATTTGATCATTTAAAACAATATATTTGTATATGTGATACAAAAAATATTGAATAGATTTAACTTTGTAAATATGCACTAGATGTTTCGGTTAACATGTACTTCAATAACTGTATTTATTTAGAGATGGTTTCTACATGGAATTGTTACAAATGCTCAGTTTTAGGTAACTGTGAAGAGAAAAACGTACTTAATACTTTAGAAATATTTCTATTCCAAAACACAAATTGCTTGGAGATAGCAAAAATAACCAGCAAGATGTCAAATGTGTTAAATTCGATAGACGAATTACAACTTTATGCCCAAAGTGTGTTTATTCTAAGTAACAACGACTTTACTATAGAGAATCGTTACTAATCGGTAATACCTATTACTTGCATTATAATGACGTACGCTTGTGAAACGGAAGAAGAATACTGAGAAAAGTTTCCCGGGAAAAATGTGCATTTTATTGTTGCTTCGTTTTTATTGCCCGACTATTCTTAGTCAATGACAAATAATTAAGACCGTTTAATTATTTTTTATGTATGTACACACTAGTAATAAAGTAATTTAATTACTATTCGTCCGCTAGATTATGCCGTGTCACATAGGAAAATTACTAAAAACCATAAGTAATTTAGATACAATTACCTAATAATTTAAGTTCGATAAATAATGATACTACCATTGAAAGTATATAAAAAAGCTTTTATATGCTAGTGATTCTAGTTTATTGTGTTTTTGTGGTTTGTTTCAATGTGCAATATAAAAATGAATAGAAATAATTGAATTAATTATAATAACAACAATGTTAAAAATATCTTAATAAGGTTAATAACAATAACAAAAATGTCACGCATACTAAAAACAACTAGAAACAAAATTATTAAAGGAAATGAAATAATTGTATTTCGGAAAGATATTAATGTATGCAGGCAACAAGAGCTGAGATGATAAGTATAAGTTGGTGCAACATGAATCTTGCTCGAGTCGCTACACCACAACGAAAAAATGATTTATATTAATCCTTATAGATTTAAACAACTTTTACTTTCTTGTATGGTATTGACGATATTTTCTTTTCGTATTTTTATCTTTCCACTTGAACATTAAGGTAATTAATTAATTAATTTAACATTACATAGCTAATATGCTTGCTATTAATACAATAATTTGACGAGAACAAATAATTAATTTCAAAAAACAAATTACGGAATTATATTAAACGATTCACGGCTCGAAATGCAAATGAATGAATTTTGTTATATAAACAAATATTTTTATAATATTTTGATCTATAGGATCCGCATATTCGGATCATTTAAGACTCAGGTGATTTTTTATTAGTCAATTCAGTGCAAATTTCGCTTTTAAAAGTCAAGGTCTGTTGGTTTTGCAAGAAAAAAAATTAAAAGTTATTACTAACCAAATAACCCAAGAGCAATCGTCTGTTTGCTTAGGTGAGAAGAAGTTATTTAAAGACAGTCAGATATTTGTTGTGAGTGCAATGTATCAAATATTTACAGTTTTGTACGGTGGGTTTAAGTACGTAGGCACCATTGTAATTTGAAAATTGGATCATGACTAATTGAGAAAGTCTCGCGGCAAAGCCGTTGCTTGCAATAAAATCTACCAAAAAGAAGGATCAAGTCGTAAAGTGCCAAAATACACGTAAATGAAAGTGTGTGCTTTTTAAGTACGTACGAAATGTACTTACAAATAAATGTCAAGTTATTGCAATGTTCTGTGGTCGGACATAGCATGCCTTTTAATACAAAAGGTAATTGTAATTACATTTGCAGACCACGCTCAAATATTCCAGGGTTAAAACGGAATCTTCAACGTACAGCATAATTATTGCAAATATGGGAATATCAAGTGCCAATATTCGACTGGCATCTGGCAAGACTCATGTACCTTACGTTGAAGATGGTTTTTACTGGGAAACTGGAACGGTAGGTGAAAAATTCCAAGAACGTACGGTCAATCGATTTGCGTAACGCTACGTAATTATTTAACCGGAATTGTCTTTATTTATATCAAGGATACCAAAGTCGCGCTCCCGGATCGTCTACTCGCAGCACACAGCATATTTTAAATACGAGTTCGGACCATGAATGAAATATTAATTATTTGAGTCAGCGACTAAAAATAGTGCACTTGATCCATACAAGAAGTCGCAGTCTTGGGGATTCAACACTAGATGTTATGCAATTGAACCACAGCCGAAGATCCAGGATTCTGACACGGTTCTTCTATTGCATCTCAGTAATACTAACCTACTTTTGACTCAACGGCGACTTTATCAGACGTTGGATTACTCACTTTCTCTACTTTAACTTAATTTATGTACCTAGAAATAATTATTACAAGGTCTTTGGCAAATCTCAAAAGATAAAATTGTATATATGTGCACAATTCGCTTCAAAATACTTAATAATGTGCACTGATTTCCTGCAATCGAAACCTTTCGATTTAAATTACATCAAAGTTTGCAATCTTGATGCAGTTTCAGTCAAATAATTATTCCGTAGATGATATTTTAATCCAAGTGCTACTTTCAATATTACGAGATATTCTAAGGCTCCTACTTTCACCGACTTAACAATAGCTCGCAAAAGTAATACACGACGAGCGAACGAGCGTGTGTGTGCAACAGAGAGAAGAGGAAACACTTTGTTGTTGATTTTTTTTGTATCGAACTTCTTTATTTACCCATAAGCTGCGTTGGTCTCGCACAATGCATGTACGGAGGAGTGAGAAATCAATGTCATATCGATTTTCTTCAATTTCACACCAGGGAACACATTAAATCTTAATGATTTACCACGAACGAATTAATCCATAGGAAATAAGAAATAAATACTAATCCGGTTTTGTTTAGTCATCCTTCACTTCCTGCTCTTTATAACTGAGGCTACTGGTTTTAACAGGTTTATTAGAGACTCACATGGAGGGAATCCAATTAATTGACTGTAAACATTAATAGGTTAATTATTATATTAATTACCTTAATTTTGTTCGATCAGAATTTTTGATTTACCTTAAAATATTTAATCATAAGCTTTTTTTAAAGTTCTGAGCTTAAATACTACAATTATATTAACATATATTAATCTTGAGTTGACTCATTAAAAAAGTTAGATAACGAACCTTCATTAGTATTTCTTAGAAAAGTTTTTTATCGGATAATTTCATATTTTGTTGATATTGATTCGTTAAATTGATTACTCTGCTGCATTTAAACAATTAAACGCGAGTATTTGAGAATCGTCACGAAATTTTCGTACAAGGACAGTCCCAGAAGTACCCGACCTCACGTATAAATGACGGTTTTTGTTTGAAAAAACCGACTATGATCAAAAGTATCATTCTTAATAAGCTTAAGTTTGAAGACAATACGTTGTTTAGTATTTGTCAGTGAATTTGTACAATACAAATACAATACTTTCATTTAAAAGGTAACAGTCCAACGAATATCAAAGCCGAGCTAGATTCTACTCTCGGGGTAGTGGTTCATTTACAACAAAAAATATTGGGTGGCAGAGTTTAAACGAGGTCGTACGAGCTGCCTAGGCGCTACAAATGGTGAAGAAAATCCACAAAATAGTATTCGATGACCGTCGATTGAAAATACGCGAACTAGCAGACATGCTAGGCATTTCAAAAAGTGCTATGCATATTTACTGAAAATTTGGTGATAAGGAAGCTGTGCAAGAAGGGTGCCGCGTTTGATCACAATCAAGATAATGCATCCGTTATCGCGATTACCAAAAATAATGAGTTAAAGTTCTAATTGCTTCCTCACACACCCTATCCGGCAAATGTAGCCCCCTCGAATTATTTTCTCTTTCTAAACTTAGAAAAGATTTGCCAACAATGAAGATGTAGAATCTAGGATTACTGATTATTTTGTAGAGCTCCATGGTTGTCACTATAAACAGGGTATCGAAGCTATTGAACATCGGTGGGAAAAGTGTATTGAGCTAAAAGAAGACTATGTTGAGATATAAAGATATTTTTTTTCCATTTTTTTGTATTTTATTTGTTAGGTCGGATACTCATATTATTATATAATAGTATTAAATATAAAATATACTTACTAGTAAAATAATATTTAGAAATTATTGAAAAGTTATCTTACCGAAATAATACAATTTCAATTTATAGATGGTAATTATTGTACTTGAATAATTTTATTTGTTTCCAGAAAAACACTTCAGCCAAACAGAGAAGCAACGATACGATGGTTGGTTCAATAATTTGGCACATCCAAATTGGGGATCCATAAGTAAGTATACATTTTCATATTATTTTTTCTAAGTTATATTTATATATCGGTTTATTTTATAGTTTAATTCTATTTATATGTTGTAGATTTAGCTATTTATGTATTACTTAGTATATATAAACTAGCCAAAATCTTATTAAATTTGATATAAAACAATATTTTCACCAAACTAGATAATAAGATTAATAAACTTATTGGCAAAACTGTTCTCTGATTATTACAATACATAAGTACCATTTATAGACCAGGAGGTATTCTGAGAGCTATAATTTCTTATTAACGTTAAGTTCGGTATTGACATTTTTCGATTATTTACAATTATTAAGATATATACAATAAAAATTACTTTAACACCACCTAATAATAAACAATTAAAATAACCTTACCTAAACACGTCTAACTACTAACATATTAACCTTGTATGCGATTATTTGACTGAAAGACTGTGGCTAATAGAAATTGTATATAAAAATTTATTATTTTCTGAAGTTTTATCAATTGCAAATTATAGAATTACAATAGGAAAAATGAATGCCCAGAACTAGTTATGGAATGAGTAAACCGAGTACCAGTATTATAATACATTCCTTTTTAATTATACACACTCATGAAATACATTTCGAAAGTTTAATTACAATATGTACATTTTGCAAAATTTAATGAGATAACAGTTATTTTTACTGTAAATTATATAATATATATTAAGAACAAATATTTATTATCGATGGTATTCATCTTCTACCGCAATTTTTTTAATATTGAAGTTAAATTTTCATTAAAAAAGCAACTTAATATTAATCTCATAAACCTAGGTTATGAACCGGTTATATTTAATAATGTTTTGTGCAACAATCCACATCCCTGGGCTGTTAAATTCCATCCTAAGGTTGCACGATCAAGTTCTAAATATTTCGATTTCTTTTTTCATCATCTGCTCAACGTTGATTACTTACTGCTTCTTATCTTTCAACCATTAATTAATATGAAATTTAATTCAATTTTAATGTTATTGGTTGATACAAATATTTCGTAAAAATCTGAAATTTGTTGCTTCTGTACAGCAAAGTTCACTATCATTATTATAATAACTCGTATTGGTTTATCTGTAGCTTAATAAAAATTAAGAATTTTATTTCTTTAACCTACAAAAATGTTATGTACATAAAATAAATAGTTTAATAACTTCAAAATTAAATTCAGTTAATCAATTTTAAACACGCAGCATATTTTATGCTCAATGCAATACTAATGAATATAATAAGTATTAATTTAAAAATACAATGCAACTTAATTTAAAATTAGTCTCAGGAAATAACAAGTCAATTAAATTGACCTTTCCGTCATTCTTCATGGTAAAGCATCACTAATATAATAATTGTGTTTTTTTAATGCTGTACAACAAATCAGATGAGCACGTTAAAAAGAAAATTTGTGATTAATTATCGATCTATTCCTTACCAATAATATTTTTTAATTAAAAACGTGTTTTAATAGTTCACGAACCATTGGGATCAAAAAAATGACGTAATATCGAGTGATTGATGTAGTGCCATTTTAGGTCAAATCATAATATGTCTATCATATTTGCTACATATCGCGGCGTTTTTCATCTCCGCTTCGTCCGCATAGATCTAGCCATTAAATAATTCCCAAGAAATGATTCGCATTAATGGGGTTAAACGTCTACAAATATTTCACAAGAATGTGTTATATAAAACACCTACCTGAGTGCACCTGCCGTATCTACGAAATTGATCTTAATTAATTTAAATTTGCTGGTGGGGATACCTTTTTGAAAGGAATGCAGCTATAAAAGCAATTTGTACCAACAAATTGGTCAAACGACTAATTTATTAGTTCCAATGTATTTTTTCTTATATCATTACTTTTTTTTATGTAATCCTGACCAACACACTAACGTATTCTTTGACACGCAACAAATTGCGTTCGGATAATTTAAAATGTATGGGCGATTAGTGATTGAAAGCTACCGAAACGATCCAAGCTGTTTGTGACTCCGAAACATTCCCCAAGTATCTGCAACATCAAGCGTTTCGCAATTCTCCTCAATATTCAAATTAAATTGGATACATTTTTTTTATTTAATATGTAATTCCTTATCTCACACGCAAGACATTTTATCTTATAAATATAACATTCTCTATATAACCACATCGTGTGACGTGTGTGTGACTTTTTTTACTGCTTTTTTTAGTTGATTCTGTATTTATTGACCCAATCCGATTTATAGTGTTGATGGTATTTAACTCGGTCGCTGCGATTTATTATTGATCACTATTACTTTTTAATGTGGTTTCAGATCGGATTATGTTCACCCATAAATACATTAACGCAACAATTAGTCGTGGACTTTGTTAATTTATAGGTTTCCTTTCGACGCTGATTTAAATCACACTTAAATTGCATGAATGCAGTTCATTTTCAGCTGAAACAGTACATGTTAAAGCTCTAGTGATCACTTAGGTACGTTTTCGCAATTACGTTGGAAAAAAAACAATTTATCGTTTATCGGTGAGAATTAAATGTAAAGTAGGAAAGCGCTGGAATTTCTTAATATTTTTTAATACATTATATAAAATCTAATAATAGAACAAAATAGATAAATAATTATATTACTGACAACTTTTACATATTGTCATAGTACGTATTGATTTCATCATTATTGTTAATATAAGAGATAATTCTCATAATAAATCGCGTATCCATATGAATTCGTCAAAATATTAGAAATTTATTTAAGAATAACTAGGAAATATTTTTCAATTAATTTTTTTATCGTCGTTTTTATTCACTACTATTCTATAATAAAAGCATTCAGTAAATGATTTGGCGGTTGACAAGATATTAATTGAACATCGCCCATTGGCGATTATCCTTTGCTTATTGTATATTTGTTGAATCCAAAGGGTAGATCCAGTGGTTTGTGTCGCTTCAGTCGCTGCTATTGTCGATAAGATTGACTTAATGAATATTTAAAGAGTTTCATTTATCTATAACAGGATTTTTGAACCGTTAAGTAATTTTTCGATAATTTTGTGATTCGTGTAAAAAAAGTTAGATATTTTCCGATCCGCTGTAGGTTTTGGGTTCAGAAACAAGTGGTTTGTATTTAAATGGGACGACATTGTACATGAAAAATATATAGTTAGTAACTAAAAGCTTTGTTAATTTGATCAAACCTATTTTTTGATACAAATTATATACTATTAACTTATGCAGGATTATTATGAAAGCAATATATTCCTATCGATCATCTGATTCAAATCTGACGCATAAATTAAAAGCTTAGGTAATGCGATATTGCAAGGATCATATATCCCAGAAGGAGGGATTATAAACAAAGTCAATGCTGTTACTTAGATAGTAGGTATTTATTGTTGATCCGTGGGTCGTGGGTGCAATAAAGAATAACATGAATAACGACCTAAATTCTTTGGTAATAATGCACCGCGGATCTTGGCGTTATTGCTGTTTTATGTGCAAATGCTCGGCAGAAAAAAAGGAGCCATAAATAATATGGGTAGCGACTGCGGACTAACCGCATCACATGTACTTTCACTTTGAAATTGAAACATTATATTATTCGCACGGATCGAATCGATCGCATGTTTTCCGTTTAACCCGATGTGTTGTGTGCGCGAAAAAATATATAAATTAATCATTGAAACATAAATTAACGGCTCCCTCTTACCTGAGATTTATATGGACATAAATCGAGTCGGCTTCGTTCTTTGATACACATTTATTCTTACTTTCAAAATTGAATTGTTTCTAGATTGATAGGTTCAATTTTTGTAAATAGGGCATCTTCATATATGGCTTATTTATGAAGGACAGGTTTTAAATTACATAAATCTGAATACTGCAAACAATTAAATCTGCATAGATTCAGTAGTTAAATAATATTAAATCTTTGAGGCGCGGTGGTACACGGTGGTACTAAATTATTTAGTTGCAGACATATATCATCATACTACTCGTGCTATGTACATTATAAAAGCTTTTTAAAACTCCATATCTCATAGTAATAGTTGCACGTACAGCAATCATAGATATTTTTAGTTGCTGATTAATTATTATTAAGAAAACAACAATGATGGCTTCACAAATTATCTATTACGAATTTGGATTCAATTTATATCTCTTTTTTTGTGATATTTATGTATTTTTAACTTTAATTTATTGGTATTTTAAGTTTTTTTCTGTAGCTATTTGCAAACGATAACTTTTTTATAGACCTATTGTCAAAGTCTGTATTATGTTATATTGTATTAAATTGTACATTGTAAAAATTAAAGTTTAGTCTTATTAATTTGATATTAGTATATAAATTATTAACCCTTTAGGGACAACGACTTTTTCAGCCAGGTCAAGTAGCAGGACGATGAGGCCAATATATATTGTTAAATAAAAATATTTAAAGTATTTATTTTCCAAACATTAAAATTATTTTTTTATATTTACGCCCAAATTAATATATTAAGAAATTCTTATTATTCCAAAATATTATCCGGAATAAAAATATGATAAAATGACAATATTTCAAATATAGTAAATTAATTCAATAAAATAGTTGAATTAATTTACTATATTTGTTGTAATACATATTATTGTTCTGATTTTTTTAATTTTTTTTTTCAGTACCTTGAATTTACAATAAAGAAGTATAAGGAAACTTGCTCCTTTGAATTTTAACAATTGCATTATCAAGGTGTTGCTGGTATTAACATTACATTCAGTAAATATAGGAATTAAAATTGCAAAGCAACTCATTACTAAGGTTGTACAATCGTTAGCCTACAAGTGATATTCATAAATAAAAGATTAGTTTAAAAAGTATAGTAAGTGTTAATGAATTAATTAGTTATTTTGTTGTTCATATAATATTGATAATAATCAATATATTTTATATAAGGATAGAGAATCATTTGTCTTTACAAGTTATTCAATAAACGTGTTACACTTATTGTCTTACATTT